AGCAATTGTAGTCAGCTGTATTTTTCATGTTCTTCGTTAATTTCACATGCTTTGCAGACAGTGCATTTTATCACCAGAAATCCAAAAGAATCTGTAATCTGTTGCTCTATTCACTATCTAGCCATGAGAGTTCTCACTGGGTGCAGCCAAATTCCTTAAGAGTCATCAGGAGAGGCCATCCAAATCATGTAAATCACACAGAATCACAAATGGGACTAGATTAATTGGGCAATGTGCTATTTGTGAATCTGTAATTCTGATATTTTGTATATTGAACATGAACAGGCTTATAGCACCAAATCAGGCATCACTCAAAATCTTTTCTGCCCTTTCCACGCAGTACCCTGATGGATCCAAAGACACCTGCCTACCTCAGCCATTCTTTGACCCTGTGATACTAGTGGGATACTCCTGAAACACCAGTCTGCTCTGCTCTCTAGAACAGACTGACTCTAATATATGTCTTCCGGAATGTCAATGCTCTAAGACCCTCACCTGCCTGTACCTCATGAAAATCCTCCACCTAAGAAAGAGTCTGACCAGACCCTTATTTGTTCCAGTCACTATTCAGAAGACCTGGGAAAGGCATTTCCCTTGTCAATCTAAAATAATATTAAAGAGTGGGAAAGAATTTCCATAGCTGAGCTTTCTATCGTGGAGACATGCGTTCTATTGTGCTGTAGTCCAGTACTTTGATATGATTAAGATCACCTGAATATCTACAAACATCTGTTTGTTTGGCATGAAACATGGGCCAAAATGTGCAGGAAATACACCCCCCTCTTTCAGAATGTTACCTACTACGCTGAAAAGTGTGATTAGCAGTATCCTTTGATTTTACATCTTGGTGCTGTTCAATATACAGTTTTGTTGGGTTGGCTTTTTTTTGTTGGTTTTTTTGTTTGTTTGTTTGTTTGTTTTGATTTGTTTTTTAAATTCACATTCTATGAGTGGTATGATTGAAAGGATTTCCAAATTCAGATAGTATTTTCTCACCCAGGTCATATGTGAAGTTTCCTCTGAAGTATGTCACTCTCAGTTTTAAACTGAGACAGGGGAGGTTTAGGTTAGAGGAAGTTCTTCACACAGAGGGTGGTGACACACTGGAACAGGTTGCCCAAGGAGGCTATGGATGCCTCATCCCTGGAGGCATTCAAGGCCAGGCTGGATGTGGCTCTGGGCAGCCTGGTCTGGTGGTTGGTAACCCTGCACATAGCAGGGGGGTTGAAATTAGATGATCATTGTGGTCCTTTTCAACCCAGCACATTCTATGATTCTGTGATTCTAGATGGAGCACCTGGAACATTTGTTTTATCCTTACCTCTAAGAAACACAGATTTTGATCATGAATCTTAACACCTCAATGTGCCCTCCTCTCAATGGCTACAAGAACCTCTTGCTTGCTTAGCATCGTTTATGCCATAGTTACTGGCCTCCTACATGCCACCTCTTCAGCCCCATGGTAGCTAATTTCTACAGTTCTGGAATACCTCTTTTTTTCCTGTGTTGCTAACAATCTCTTTGGCCCGCTTCTCTGAGATTCAGATCTCCATGGGCTCTGGCTTTTGATTATTTTTTTCTCTAGCATAGGATGGGAGAAATGACATTCTCTCATCTTCATATAAGATTTTTAAAAGGAAAATAGTGAAAAAGCATCCTTAACCAAAGATTTTCTCACTGTATGAAGCCAGATGTTTTCTTTTTTCCTGTTAACTTTTCCGCGTGCTTGACGCTGAAAAAGAGAAAGAAAAGGATTTTTAACCTTGCTCTGTCTCATTTCTATTTCTTCAAGTCCTTTTATACATGACTGTTTAAACAAGAGAGAAATGAACCTTATCAGTGAGAAAGAAGACTTCACCTTTCCTGTTATCTACCAGTGAATCACAGCATATCATTGTTACTGTCAGCTACTTAAGGCAGCCAAATCCCTCTGCTCTGGCCTGAGCTGAGAGGGCAAGTTTATCCAGTATAATATGTGTCCCCTCTGGACTCACCCTGAGTTACTAATAAGAACAAACTGCAGGTTTTGGCAAAAGTCAAGAGGGCAGAAAGTGAGGAAAAAGCATCAGCTTCAGCTTTCTGTAGACATCTCTCAGTGTCAGACTGCCAAGACCAAACTCAGTACTTTAAAAAGAAAGGCAATCTTTTCCCTTTGACCTTTGTGCTAGAGTTTTGACTTGTGAAATAGGACTGAGATTTAAGAAAATGACAATGTAAAATTATATAAAGATGTTTTGCTTCATCTATTGTGTACCACAGAAGTAATCTGTCTTTCAAAAAAAATGCATAGTAGTCTCATTAAGTAAAATTAAGGTAGTTGTATTGTAGGTGAACTAAAGATACATATGTGTGTGTGTGTGTGTGTGTGTGTGTGTGTGTGTGTAAGTTGCTCCAAAAGTAATACCCTCTATTTATTTCCATGGACATTACAATAGATACAGAGGGCACAATAACGCAATTTGATAAAGCAAATTCTCCACTACAAAACACTATTTTTCAACACAGTCGCCACGATTAGCTCTGCATTTTTGTCAGCAGCAAACAAGAGCATGTTTGCCACTCCTCTAAATACGTGCAACGGTGAAGGCACTAGTGCTGTCACTACTGCTGAAATTAACCATCCACAGCCTCACTGTGCTCACATCCACTATTTGGACTCCAGAAATGTTCAGTAAGCATCAATGAATGTCAGTGGGTGCAAGTTTACATGCATGGAAAAAATCCAGTGACACACCTCTGCTTCATATATACTTCCAAGTCAGACAATATTTTGTCAGATTGCTCCCCTGCTGCCATCTGTCACACAGAAATAAAACACAGTGGAGTATTGGTGGGAAGGTTCAACCTCTAATGGTGTCATACCACCAACATCCGCCTCTGACCTTGTAAGCCAACATAATAACACAGAAGGCATTACTTTCAGAGCAGCCCTCATCTATAGTATATATATTGAGTGGTTTGCTGTGGAATGGAAAGAGGTAATGAGGGCAAACTGAAATAAAGGAACTTCCATTTAAATTTAAGAAAAAGATTTATTATTTTACTGTAAAGGTAATTGAACACCTTGAACATATTCCAAGAGAAAGGCTACAAACTCTTGATGCTTTGAGAAACTTAAAATCTGACTAGACACAGTCATAAGCATTCTGCTCCAGCTGACTCAGTTTTGAGAAGGCGGGTGGAAATCTCCAGTGGTCCTTTCCGAGTTCAACTGCTCTGTAATTTTGTGATTCTGCGTCTAAATCTAACTCCCTTGATTTGCAAATGAAATGACTTGATCTTGGCATGAAAATTCAATTTCCATGGGAAGAAAACTGAAAATTTCATGGGAAGAAATGAAAACTGGAAATTGAAAAGATCTGTAGTACAAACATAATAACAAAAAATGCATGGCCAGTTAAGAATAACAAGTGATAAGCAAGGTTCAGCTCTGAATTAAGCTAGCCATCACTTCTAACTTGGGTATTGGGTATTGGGTATTGGGTATTCATTTCTTTAAAATATACACCCTGCTAGTGACAAAGCAAGGATCCTTTGGAAGCAGTATAAATGCTACACCTTCAAGAACTCACGATGCTATCTTAAGTCACATGACTGAACTGATAGCAATTAAGGAAAGGAAGTTATGTTATATTTAATTTATATTTGATTTTACACAAACACACTTGTATAACTGTGGATTATTTTTATCCTACAGTGTAGAGTGGGCAAAAAAATAAACTGCAGTACTGTGAGGCATGACAAAAACATTTTCCTTCATCTTTTGTTAATATTCTATATGTAATGATGGTTTGAATGATATGCAGAATTTAGAGAAAAGATTCTATTTTTCACTAGACTAAATTGGTCTGCGAGAAATTGTCTTCCCTTCCAAACTTTGGTACCCTCATTTCCTTTAGCTACTACAGCCACAGCACAGCGGATATGAAGATCACAGGCCACATTAGCATGGCAGGAAAGAATTTCCGTTTCTCTTAGGCTTTGAGTGTACAGCACAAACACATACATTATAAGTACAGCTCATATCTTCTTTCAATTAAAAAAACACACACAAGGGAAAAAACTCATGTAGCAGTCTCTGCTAAAAAGGGACTGTGGAGGACACATGCCATAGAAAAAAATATTCTGACTGTATAATATTAATATTGCCCATGGAAAAATTCCCAGCACCTTCTGAAGGGCTTTTAAAATAATAATAATAGCAATAATAAATCACACAGTGTCAAAAAGTATTCTCGTGAAACAGTGCATCCTTTCAGGACTGCATTCATTCTTTATGATTTCTTTCAGCTGTACACTTGTCAGCTATTTACATCATTGCTTTGTAGAAGCATTTGCACATTTGGCTTGCTCAGAGGAGATGTCACTGACTGAGAAACAAAGCGTAATGCCCGACACAGAATCATAGAAGGGCTTGAGTTGGAAGGAACCTTAAAGACCACCTATTTCTACCCCCTCCATGGGCAGGGCTGCCACCCCCCAGATCAGGCTGCCCAGGGCCCCATCCAGCCTGGGCACCCACAACCTCCCCGGGCAGTACTGGTGCCTCACCTCTATGTGAAAAAGTTTCCACATCTAATCTAAATCTCTCCTCTTTTACTTAAAACTGTTTCCTCTTGTCCTATCACTATCTACCCGTGTACAAAGTTGATTTCCTTCCTGCTCAGCAGCTCCCTTTAAGCACGAGGAGGCCGCCACCGGGTCTCCCCTGAGCCTTCCCTGCCATAGTCAGCCTGGCTCAATTCCGATGGCTGCAGAGCCATCGCTGTGTGTGTGGCTGTGAGATCTACGCAGGATGTTTGGTTTGTTTGACGTTTCTGCTGTGCAGTGAATTTCGACCATCAGTGGGTTACTAATCAGAAAGACACATTCCGCGTAGCATTTATTCTTTTAAATTCTGACGTTAGGTATTCCCTATACGTAGCTTCATAAGTAGACGTTGCTTCTATCCCCCAGAGGAACAGCAGCTCCTTCTCCCATTCTCTCCGCACGGCTCTCCCTCACGGCCAGCCCACGGCCACCACCGGCGCCTCGAGCCCTGCGGGCTCCGTGTTGCTCTGCGGCCGCGGGGCGGCGCTGTGGCTGCGGGCCAGGCCCTCACGGGCGCCCCCGGCCGGATCGAGTCCGGCGGCGGCGGCGGCGGCGGCAGTGGCTCCTCCGTCCCGCCCTGCGGGGCTGCGCCCAGCGGCTGCCGCCCCGTGCTTGGAGCTACGTGCTTCCTCCTGACACCGCGACAAAACAAAAGAGCTGTGCAGCGTCACTGCAGTAATTCTTTGCCTTGTCTATAGCCAAGATGGAAGTGCCAGGAGAACGGCTTCCCGTAGTTATTTATTACTTGGAATCCTGTGTGGGGAAATTAAAATAAACATACACATGCATTACCGTTTTGCTTTTGTTCTGAGATAAACTCAAATGGCCAAGCTCCTTTTTATTAAAAATGCTCTTACCCTCCTCCACAGGGAGATACGAATATGTGAGTTGGTTTCTTGATAAATTTTTTGGAAAAAGTCCCTTAGTTTGATTTTGTGGAATTTGTCTTTATTTATTTCTTAATAAAAGTGCTATTCCAGCAATAGAACAAAATCTTTTAGAACTTCTTTCAGAACTTGTCTAGGTTTAGCGGGCCAGACATTTCCTTCACAGAAATCAGACTGCTTTTTGCAATGAGACACCATTTCATTGCTAACAGCTACAGCAGCAAACTCACTCATCTCTATCAAGATGCACGCTGTTTTTTCTTCAGTCACAAAGAATGTGATTAGCCAGGTAATGTTTGACGTGAGAGAAGTAGAAAATGTCCTCTACTTTGTGCAAAAGCTGAATCTGACTTAACATAAGTGTCTAAAGAATAAAACCCCTTTGGCATATGTCATCGTTGTCTTTACTGTATCTTTTTATAATAATGGGGAAGAAAAAGTGTTCTGTACCCATTATTGATTGCATATGAAAAGCCATTTCTGATCTAAATTTAGACAGATTGAAGGACTTAAGAGAATCTTTTTTAACAGAATTTTTTTCATAACAAATCAAACAATTCTTCTGCCACCAGAGGATGCATATTACCCACAAATCTTCATTTGATTACTTTCAAAGGAAGCAGTGGTCGATTTTGATCGAATGCCTCATTTTCAGACAGTATTTATTTTGGTTCTTGTCCCTTTGAGAAAATCTTTTGAAGATTTGTGTGATGTGGGTTCCTTCTGAAATCTAATCTGTTAATCTTCTCCTGATGCAAAACTGTTAAACTGTTAGCAAGAAGACATACATGAATATAATAGCTGTTAAGTAGTAATGTTCTGTTATATCATGCTGCACAGCATGATATAATAGAGATTACAGATGGGATGGGGATGATAAAGTAACTGACTCCTTTTTGCTATGCCCAAAAAGACTCATAGTGGTCTTTCTCCACAGTCCTGGTTTATCCCTGTGGAAGATAACAGTAACTTCAATGCAATGGGGGTGGAGGTAGTTTATCCAGAAAAGTGTGTGATGAAAGGATATTTAGAAAAGCAGAGAAGTTAACTGGAAATGAACAGGACATGGCTAAATCTAACAACACAATATTTTGAGAGCAAATCAGAACTGATGTTAGAGCCCAACGTGGACACAAACCACAGACTGGAAGCTTTAGAAAACCTTGATATATTCCAGGAAAAGAAAGCTTGGTAAGCTTCATCCCTCTGCCTGAACACATGAATCAAAGCATTGAGAATAGAGTTTATCATTGCATCTTCCATCTAGTCTTAAATGAAATCACACGTGAAGCAGATAAGAGAAGGATCCATGTCCAAAAGGTGCCTCACAGGAATGCAAAGGTAACCAAGTCATACATGCTAACATACAGCATGTCCTACATCCTGATGATGTTAAATAGGCATGAGATAGAAAATGTGCCTGGTGTTATTTTGCTCCCTTGTCCACTGTACAATTTTGGCAAAATCTAAGTTTACTGTTCTGATTACCATAAAGATTAGCACAGCACAGTTTCTGCCCTGGAACTGGTGTGCATGGAGTTTTTGACTGGAAATAGAAGCAAGGCCATGGAAAACTCTCCTTTACTGCAAAGACTGGGAAAACAATGCAGTGATTAATGGGTAGCTGATGATATCTTACAGAAAGAGAATACATTTCTGATTACAAACTTTGCATAACAGACGGATGCAGCAGTCTTTTTCATAGGGCTTGAGGTTAAGGAAGAAGATGTCTCAGGCAACCAAAAACCTTTTTACTCCTACTTAAGCAGAGATGGTTACAGGCAAGCAGAATGTATGAAATGTGCTTGCTCCAACTGGAAAATAATAGTACAATATAAAACTTTTCACATACTTCCTTCAGCACTGGTACACGATTGCATTAATATAAAGCCAGCAGACAACATATTCCTCTTGAAATAGAAGAGTTGCAGTTAGACAAAACTGTGGAAAAAATTAAGATAAAGAAGAAATGAGGTATAGTCAGACTAAGATGCATGCATAAAACGCCAGGAGGTGATGTTGCACGGACTGTTATTAAAAGTGACTCTTTTCTTTTGCTTCTTAGAGGTAATACTTGACATTTGATAGAAGAAGGGCTCCAGCAACAACTGTTGGCTGCTACAGAGTCTGCACCTAGACTCACATGCTCCACTGAAGTTCCTGGGCATTCTGAAGGGCTTGGCAGGGAAGGATCAAAACCCTTTGTTCCTTTCTCAGCTTTCTTTAAAGATTTGTCAGCCTCTCTCCAAGTGAGAGCTCCCTTCTTCATATGGGCTGTGATCTGTGGTTGCTAAGGTAAATGTTACAGTGCCCAAGAACTTGTTCTGACAGTCTTCGTTTTTATGCTAGCAAGGAAAAAAATGCTTCTGCTCAGATCTTTGGAATGAGGTTTCCGTACTTCTCCTCCATTGTGACTTTCCTTTCAAAGGCCCAGTACGACCTAGACAAACTAGAAAGAAATGAAGTGTTGCTGTTCTCTTGGCAACATTTACTGTAGGCATGTAGGGCAAAAAGCAGTTGGGTATTGCTTTGACAGTGAGTGTTGCTTTGACTTCCAATCTACACAACAAAGCAAAACATCCTCTTTGGCTTTTGTTCAGCCTTGTGATACATAGAAGAATGAATGAAGTTTAATGCAAATTTTAGCATTCCCTTTGTGGAATTCTATTCCACACCACACTTCCTTAAAGCTTTATATATTTCAAGTCATTTCCATGGCTTGACTTAAATATTTACCTCGTGAAAAAATATTATTTAATATTAAATGTATTAATGAATCTTTGATCTAATACATCTTTTCTATTATTCTAGTTACATTCTTTCTTTCTTCTGCTATTATAAACGCTTCTGTTGTGCAATGCCTGAATATTTCCAATTGTTTTGTACAGAGAGCTTTGAATTAAATAACAGCAAGGAGTAAGAGGATTTTATGAACAGACAGCAAGTCAGGAAAAAAAATGTATGAAGGCAACAAATATGACCAGTGATTGAGGATTTTGTGCAAAAACTGAAGATTTTGAAAGTCTTAAATTCTTCTGGCTTAACAGCAATTTGAATATGAAATATTAATTCCAAGGAAGGATCCCAGCATTGCAGCATTGTAGCAGACAGTGGGTGTCCAGAAAAGGGTAATTTGGGTGTATTCTGCAGTGAACTGAGCAGAACAGAGGATGCTCTGTGTGTCATTTTAAGGGTGAATTAACTCCTTTATAGTGTGCTCAGCGCTGGGCCCCAGGCAGTAGTGTGCTCAAAGACACCTGGTGGCTTTGATGCAACTCATTCTCATCAGGGAGATCTCTAGCAAGGAGGAGGAAGGTGGGGATTCAGTTATGAAAAGTACTTTCAGGGGCATTTTAATGACCATCATGCAAAGGTGCACTACAGTTTGTCACTGTGTGGGCAAATAGTGGCAAGACAAACAATCTTGCTTTGGTTCTTTCTCCTGTAGGTATTTCTGCCACTGATTCTTTCATTTCCCAGCACTCGGACCAGTTTTGCCTCTGTCCTCTAACATTTAAAAACATGTCATGTAGATATGGACATGACCTGACAGTTCTCTGGACAGGGTTGAAGTTGTATATCTTCCTTGAAGACACTAGGTTGAGCATCTCTGAAGGTTTCCCAACAGAAGTAGAGACAAGAGAATGGCTGCACTACCAGTTGTGTGATGTTAATATTTCTTAACGTGAAGAAGAGAAACTCCAGTCTTTCTACCAAGTTTTAATCAGAACACTGACATCTAGTCAAAGCAATGTAAAAAGCACATATGGATATCAACCAGGCAACTGGAAGAGTACTAAAGAAGAAATACCTGAAATACAGCTGTGTGAATCTTTAGGCCCTATCTTTTTCAAAATCTCACTGATGGGAACACATGAGTAACCGCTTTCCCTCATACCGTTGCTCTCTAACAGCATACCTCTCTCCAAACACTTTCTAATGCAGACTGTTAAATAAAATACCAGCTTTGTACAAACAGATTTCCTTGCAGGACACTGTGGTCTCAGCACTCATCCAAATGACTTATTCTTGAGAAGGGTATTAAAATTACAATACCCCACAGCTGCAACAAGTTACCGTAATTCCTACTTGTTCAGCCAGCAAAACCTGCAATATCAGCTCATCTACTGACTGCAGAAGTACTGATGTGCTCTTGTGCGTGCCTCAAGTACAGCATGTTCAGCCAAAGTCTCCTTAAAAACCTAGGCTTATAGGTTAAATGGTTTTGAATTTGCTCTTACCTGGATGACAGAACAGTAACATCAGAGATCCTGTAACACGGGCATTTCAGAACACCAATTTATGTGAAGTTAAGCATCTGTTTCTATTCTAAGTCTCCATTACTGTCAGCAAAAAATATTACTAGCTACTGCTTGACATAAAATATGAGACAATAAAATGGATCTACTAAATAAATTCCTTATTAGAAGCACCTTATTTTTTAAGTACCACTGCTAAATTTGCAATCAGAGAATGACATTCATCTACTTCTGCAGCACTCATCAAACATTTCATTTCAGACAGCAAATTACCTAGAAATATTTGCACAGAACTTCTGATACAGTTTCAAAGAAACATAGATAGATAGATAGATAGACAGACAGACAGATGTTAAACTGTCAACCAACCCAACACAGTTCATTTCCTTTACCATCTCCCCATAAAGGTAGGTCCATTGTTTGTTTGTTTGTTTGTCTTCTGATTGAAAGATGTTGTCTCGTGTGATGTTCTAATCTATTTAGGACCTTGTTAATTCCTCCCTAACCTGAGTGTTGTTAGCGGTTCCCTCAGCTCAGCACTGAGCTCAGCACTGTCTGGAATGCCAAACATCTCAGATCTCCTCAGATCTCCTTTTCAGATCTCCTC